CAATATATTTCTATAACAATATGAATACTAAAGTTATCTCGAAGTTAATTTTGATTTTAGTAATAAAACTGCGAGGCTATATTTAACAAACTGCACAATATATTCGGATAATGGGTTTCCCCTGAAACGTCTTTCAATTAAAAGGTGCACGGCAAGCGGTCTAAAGCGGTGCTTAATTATAACGGCCGCCGTCGCGGTGTACTTTCGCGAATCCGAGCGATTTAACGACCGCGTATTTCTATTCTCGTATACAATCGGAAATCAATAAGCGAACGAAAATCTTGTTTAAGAGCAATCTTCGTTTACATATATATATGCCACATAAAGATATCATTTCACATCAATAAATCAAGTTTAATGCACCCAAAAAATAATTGAAGCAGAAATCACTGCAAGATCAGCAAACATTCTTATCCCTATACCTGTAAAATTTTTTAAGCTATTTCTTCATAACACGATAGAAAAAAAATAAAGTTAGATTGGTGTTGTTAAAATTTAATTAACAAAAAGAGATCTCAATGTGTTTAACACTTACTTAACGTAAATCCGTTAACTTAATAAGAATTATACATTCATGAATTTATCATCGTAGATATCGTCCTGAGGGGGGAGACTCAACAAAGCTTCGAAAATTTATGTGCGGCTGCAATTTGCGCAGAAGTATTTGTAGCGTTAAATTAGGATAGTAAATTAGGTAAAGTAAAAGACTTCTTATCCAGGTATCCTCCTTTAACACTGCAGTAGGAGATTATTTAATAAATCAGTGCCATTAAGACACATTACGAATGCTAAATGTGCAAAATGCGCTCGCCTGTACGTATGTGCTAAAACTTATTACTGTAATACCCCTCCTACGTATGCATTCAGCATTGCCCTGTTTCGGTACAAATGGGATTTCATCAGGCGAAGGTAATAAGAACGGAGAGCCACGTCAGAAATCTTGAAAATTATTGGCATCAAAATGGAAAAACAGGACAAAATATTATTCCATACAGCGCGGAATTTCCTGCGAGAGAAATAATCAAAAATAAAACTTTGATGTATTGCAAAAACATATATTCCCTTCAAAAAATTTAAGAATCACGAAATATAGTAATCATATCCTAATTATATTATTATAAATTATAATTTAATGTAATTTTTAAATATTATTATGCTTAAGTATATCATGCAGATTACTTAGAAGATATCGCAAATTAAAAACATTTTATTATATAGGATCACTATCGTAGTAGAATAGAGATGCACGCAGCCAGCATTCATCTATTGCACTTAATGCCCGCGCCTATCGAGATAAGCACGGCAAACAAATCGTAAAACGTGCGTGTAGAAGTAACCTTGAGTTACTTGCAGCCAGTACTTCAATTCCCGCGATCTTTATGCTCGCTTTGAAAGTGACTTCGAACGATTTCGAACGAATACAGCGAACGCGCGTTACAATAAGCGCACGACAAATAAAATAATAAATCACTGACAATCCTTGGAACGTTTCTGATTGCAGGCAGCTCGTCGAGAAGCCTCCGCATGAGAAAGTGTGAGATCCACTTACGATCCACGTATGCTGTCGGAACTCGCGTGAAAAATGCGGCAGCAACGACGAGCGACGCGACGGAGAGAAGAAAGAGCGGGCGAGAGCGTAACAAAAGGAAGCCGCCGCGCGAGAAAACAAGATCACGTTGAAGGAGAATTTCGCCTAGAAGCTACGGGATTCCGCCCAGACGGCACAGTATGCACAAGGGATTTATAAACTTTCCAGGACCGTGAAAATTTACTCCGTTACCTGTCCCGTCCGCGAACTTCTTCCTCTCGCGGCTCAGAGTCGGTTGCGCGCAAAATGAATCGACCGGGCTGAGTGGCTCCATAAATCGCGGGGTGCAGCGGAATAACGCTGCCGGGACGTTGACAAATGTAAATAAGATTGAACTCGCGCCGCGCCGGATTTAAACGCGCGAATCTAGGCGAGTGGAAAAAAAAATGAAAGCTTCGAATGTTGGATGAACGAATATATCTTTTCTTCTAAAAGTATTACCTATACTTCTAAAAGTGTTTCTAAAAGTATGCTAACATTATGCCCAGTAGTTTGCATTGCCGACGAAATGTTGAATTACGTAAATAAATAAGAAATATTAAAAAAATGAAAAATACATGATTATTTATAAATTAAACAAAATAAGTTGGAGGGATAAAGTTTTGGATTTTATATACATGGAAGTCTGCTTCACACAAAATTAAATAAAAGTTGGATAGAGAGAAAGGAAATGGACTCTGTACACATGGAAGCTCTCTTTACACGAAACTCTGTTAGCTTCTATAGAAATAAAAACGTTTAAATAACTTCGAAACTTCAAGAAGATAGATGCTATCGCTGAATAGTATCCGTGAAAAGAAAAAGAAATTTTATTATTTCTCTGGGAGTGTTAGTCTGTAAAATTGGCATGCTTTCACATAAACTATCTAATCGATGATTATAAATATAGTCGGCCGCGGGGAAGAAGTTGTCAGTTCTATTTCCAGGGAGCGTATCAACATTGGTATAAATCACTTTGCGTGATTTCAGTTCTTCAACAAAGCTCAAATTTGTTGGCTCGCGCAATCGATAATGTTTCAGGATAATGTTTAGGACCCCCAAGGACTTGATAATATAGGTAACCGGATAAGGCGAACACTGTGACACAGTATTCGGCCCCTCCTGCCTCTGTTGGCCTCATTAGCGATGCGCATGATGCCGCGTCCGTCGCGTTTGAATATCATTTAAATATCTTCTCGATATCTAACAGCGCCTTCGCCATTATAAAATCGATGCTTCCAACCTGTACATTTTATCAAGTATCGCAACGACGGAAGCCGAAATTGGAATAAGGGCGAAATTGCTTCAGCGACAATATGAAATTTAATAGATTTGTCAGATAAGGGAGCCAATTTTCATCGCTTAGAAGGTAGACGAAAGCAATCTGCATCGAAAGCAAAAATGAAATAGCGGGAGAAACAGTAGAGACCGGACAGTGAGCGCGAGACAAAATGCGACTGTAGAAGAGGAAGAAAAGAAGATAATGATAAAGAGAGGCACACCGCCTCTCTCTTCGTCAGAAGTCGCTTGAGAACTCCTCGGGAAAGCGATGTCGACGACTCTCCTCCCTCCAGGAACTTTTAATTTCCGGTACTTACCGGGGAGGGAGGGCGAATTCTGAAAGGTAACGAGCGTGTGGTGAACGGTAAGGGGGAGGAGGGAGGAGCAAGGGAGGGACGGCCGACTTATCGTTTACAATGATAGTCGTCGCGCACACAGGGATCGCAATTGAGTTTCGTTCGGCGATACTGAAAAGCTCAGCGCCGCCGGCTGCGAGCTCTCGCTGGCTCCAGCTATTGATCGGAGGCCGACCGACCTGGGTCAGAGTGTAGCGGTGTGGACTGCATCGGTGCAAGCCGGTCTACGTGTGCAGCGCACGAGTGTGGGTACGTGCACCCTTGCCGACGCTCGCTGCACACACCGGCGTGGAGCCGCGCCGTTGCACACACCGACACCGCCAGGGTCGTGACCAGGAATTTCACCTCCTCAAGCGAAACGCTGAAACAGCACTTCCCCTCCTTGCCCTCGCGATACTTTAGGCTGCCCGATAAAATTTTGGGAATCAATGCAACCGACGCGTATTTCGTAGAGCAGTATAGGTATAAAAAAAGTAATTAAAAAATAAATAAATGACGTAATAATCATAAAAAAAGCTGTCTTTCTCAAATATTACTGATCGATGGTATTTTTATAAAAATAGTGAAATAATTGGAACAAAATAATTATTATATCGCACACACATACACACCATAAAACATATTATAAAACAAATTATAAAATTAAATTAAATGATGCTCTTCATTTTTAGTCATTCACGATTAACTAAAATTATCAGTGCTTTGACGTTTATACTCTTTGACATTTCGCTTACGGAGTCGACTCTAAGTATATCAAAGGATATATCATTTCATTAAAATTGAAGTACGTTATAAGTTAAGCACGTGCCCCAAATTTGCCGCCCCTAAACTTTTCACCAGGACCATTCGAGCAGTTTCACCCTTAACGTCGTCGCTGTAGGTTGCACACAAGCGAAGATTGCATTAGCTGCATCTATTCTCCCTAACCGCGCCGCGAACATGAACGAGCGCCGCGTTATTTACCTTCCCACTTTACTCCCGTATAGTCTTGTGTAAATATATACATCTGCTCTGGTCTCGGTGAGGTCACGATAAAATTTACGCCGGAAAAAAGGGACGACGCGCGGAATGGTCCATCGGAATTCCGGAATTCCAGATCGGTCCTCTAGCGCCGGAATTCGCGGCCGGGCACGCGACCGCCGCAAAGAGGGATGTGCTCCGAGAGCCAGAATGCAAGTGCATCCATACGTAAGATACATTGGTACTTGATACTTTGCCCCCGTTTCATTCCGAAATGCAGTTCGTCGTTAAATTCCAGGCATATTACACGTCCGAGCCGAGCACAGTAATAATCCGGATTAGCAGAGAGTTTTTGTTAATATTTGGATATCTAATATAAGAGTAAACGTCTAAGTAAATGGAAAAATGTATAATACTGGCAGCACAAATGTTTATTATTGAAATAAAATATATTTTCTTAAATTAATGTAGTGTGTAATTAATGTATCTTAAATTAATGTAAAATGTAATTTATGTAACATATGACATACGATATGTCCTTAAATGAATATTAGAGATATTTTTAACACTTTTCTCTCTCGAAATATCCAGATCGTTAAAGTATTATTTTATGGTTAGAGTCTGTTCACATATGATAAACATTTACTCATCTAATTGTTATCGATTTGTGCGGCATGAGAAATTGCAATTCGAAAGCGTGACATTAACACGATGTCGTGCAATCGGCAAATATGACATCGACAGATCTTTGAATATTTAGGTTACACGTGTGTATTCTATTGACCTATGAATTTAATAATTCGCGTTTAACGAATGAGCGACGGGCGGCGGCTTACCTCGTTGGTGTTCCATCGATGCCTCTGAGTTGGAAAGTGTTCAGCTCGCGGCAAGGTTTCCAGATTTTCGGGAAGCTTTATCGGGTCGCCATCTGCGTGATAAATTATCTCAATTAATAGCTGTTCTCGCGCGCTAGAAAATGTGGAATCGTAGAAAGCATCAATTTCAGAAGCGATTTGTTCCGTGACCCGTTACATTATTTAACGGAAAACCTAAAATTTATGTCGCCGACGTGCGTGTTGATCGATCGTGACAGTTTTACAGACGGATCGACAAGCGAATCGTTATACTGTGTCATGAGCATTAACGACTGCCCACACTCACACTCTACTCGCGACGTTGCAGGTATAGCTTTAGCATTAGGTTGCATGTGTCATTAACTCTGTTTATACACAACCGATCGAAATTCTCCATCGATCTAAGCCATGTATATTATGCACGCTCGCCATAAAATAGCACTTGTAATAGATTGCACCTTCCGCGAACGTGCCGTGAACTACCTACTCCCATTAGAATGCAAAATAAAAATCGACGGTCTAAAGATTCTTTTACCGAGAACCTTAGCATGCTTTCGCACAATTACTTTTTTAAGATAGAACCGAGAAATATAATGAGAATTTCAAAAAATTAAAATGGTATCATAATTAGGTATTCATTGTTATTTAGCACGGTGTTAATAATTAATAAAATTATTCTAACAATAAGAGTATTGTAAAGAACCTTTTAGGAATATTTAAAAACAATTTTTTTCAATTAACTATAACATAATACGAATATACGGCCCATAATATTTAGTAAAGACTTAGGAAAGTATAGTAAAAAATATAGGATGGTATTTAATAAAGATTAAAATTTTCTTTATAAAAGGACTTAAAGAAAATTGATTGCGTACTGCAAAAATAATTCACCATCCTGTAAATATAGTGAGATTCGACTGCGCACTCTGCTCTTAAATTATTGGAATCCGAGAGTATTTCTGTACATCGAGGCATCAACCGGGAGGCTATTTGCTTGACAAAATGCTTCCGTTTCGCAGCGCTTGCGTTTCCTCTCGATATTATTGATATTACGCACGGGACATCTGTGCTCTCCCATGTGATATATCGGCAATATCATGCGTCGTGCATTCTTGAAGTGCTGCCCTTTATAATACGAAATGCGAAATACAGTATAAATAAATTTCCACGCCATTGTAACCAAACACTTTCTGTACTTTATGCAATCCATTATGTAAAATTGAATCGATACGATCAAAGTAGCCATAAAGTTGCCGTAGAGATAACGAAATTCATCCGTTTGATACAACTTTTGTTACAGTTTCTCCGGAAGAAGAAACTTTCTTTCACGGACGCACACGCGCACTCACACATAGAACATTCGTCAAAAAAAAAAAAAAAAAAAAAAAAAAATTGCCGCGTTTTCGCAAGAAATAATAGCAGAAATGAAGACAAATGTGTGACTTACCATATTTTTCTAGCACGTCAGAAATTATATATAAACCTAAATCACGATTGCGATCAGGAAATTTTTATGATCGATTAACTTATGATAATCTTATTTAGCTGCCAGAGTAAATTCATTGCTCAAGTGCTTTTTTCTTTTCATGAAAAGATTCGTTAAAATTGCTCTATATGACTAAAAACCAGCATATAAACGTGTCATATTTTATATCAGTACAATTTATTTATTCAATAGCTTGTTTTCATGTAATCTCTCTCATAGATCTGACAAATTGGAGCGAGTTCAAAATAAGTTTCGTCTTTAGCCAAACATTTTCCGGAAATACCTAGAGTATTTAGCCAGGAATTATCCGAGGGAATCAAATATTTATTTAATGGCACTTCATTCGCCTACGGTCTATGTAATATTCATTGATTCGCGAAACTCGCCGAAACTAGGCGCCATTAACTAAACTTTCGATCATAAGTATGATACTTAAGCGCAGTCGTGATCTCTTGTATTTCGTTATAGCATTTTGTAAAAGCTTACTTGCATGGAATTTCAACGTTGCGATGTTATTTAGTTAAAAATCATTACGTTGCAAATATAAAACGAATATATCTTATATATTAATTTCATATATTTTTCAGAATCGCCAAAAAAAAATAATACATATAAATAGTATACTAAAATAATTGAAATTTAAAATTTAATGACTTTCAATTTATAGTCAAAGAAATTGAAATCACTTATAAACTTCAAAGTTCAAGATTTCACAACGCAAATCTTTGAAATGACACAATTTGCTGAAATAAAATGAGACCCTTGGGAGGCGCGCAACGTTGACGAATCTCATTTAATAATTCTCGAGCGAAGAAAGAAGCGCGAAAAGGAGCAAGAAATTTCTCGTTCCTTAGAAACTCATAAATTAATATAGTTTCCTCTGCGGTATAAAATGAGAAACGATCAAAAGCAATTTTTAAACCCTCTCAAATTCCATTCAGCAACGATGTCAAATAAACTTCAACCCCCATGGTAAATCGAAAGTATCGGAAGACTAAATACGTGTCGTGTGATCCAACGAGTGACATGTCGTGTCAAATGTTGCGGGATTCTCTACACCGGGTGCGTAAACAGCAGATAGACTCACTTGGGGCGAGGGGCGTCGGGTAGGTCGCGTGGTAGACGACACGCTGTGGGTTCGAATGATTGTAGCCCGCCATCTCCGCGATGCTGGCGCGTGTTCGCGCTGCTTGGATCTTACCGATCGTCTTGGCCGATCGTCATCGTCCTTGAACGTACGCGAGACGGGAACGTAGCTGGGGCCTGGCGGGCATCCCCGGGCGGACCTTTCTTCGCGACGGGTCCGCGTGTTTTAGGGACGATCGCGTATCTGATATGACTGCTGTTCGTCGATGATCGCGCTTTTTCGATCGGGACGAGCTGAGGGGGCGGTCCTTTTTTTGTCAGGACAGCTTGCCGGCCGCGGGGTCCAGGACGCAGGAACGACACTCGGATTGACGTTGTTCTCGGCGTTGCGAAATTTGCGCTCCCGGATGACGACGACTCCCTCTGGAACGGCAGGACATATCCCCCAAAGGAGCGTGCACGCGAGCCGGATTATGTTATTCGAGACCGGATATCGATCGACGGTGTCACGAACGTGTCACTCTTTCCGTTTCGCTATACCCCGACTCTCCTGGATCTCTTCCCTTGAATGGGAGATCACTCGAATGGGTCAGGATTGGAGAAGTTCTCGCAGTTTCGTCGTATCGAAAGACACACGTGGAAGTGCACGCGGAAACACGGACAGAATCGATCCTCCGCTCCCCTTCCGCACTCTCCCTAATTCTCCCGAGTCTTTCTCTCTCTTTCTCTCTCGCTTTCGCTCTCTCTCTCTCTTTCACGCTTTTTTGTTAGATTTTTCTTCTAGTATAAAAAATTGGAGCTCCACTGTATCTCTATACGACGCTCGGAGCCATTCCTCTTCGTGAACGTTCCTTCCTCCCGTTTCTCGTTGTTCGCTGCTCGCGATCCCGGTCCTCTCTTCTCGCTCTCGTAAACGTTCCTGGATGGGGGCGCGTTCCCGGTCACAAACCACACACTATTTCTGTCTTTCTGACTTCTCTTCTTCCGAAATCTCAGGTCCTCCTTTGCTTTCTCTTTCTATCTTTATGTGGTGCGCTCCGGAGCTCTTTTTAATCTTCTTATATCCTAAGTTACAACACTGAACCTGTCCCTATCGGAGGGACAAAATAATGTAAGGGTCACACAGTACAGAGAGAACTTAAAATGCGATTATCCCGTCCCGTAGCAGTCGACGCGTGCTCTCTTTACGATCTCGCCTTTCGGTGATCCCTCTCTCCCTCTCCCCCTCTCTTTCTCTCTCTCTCTCTCTCTTTCTCGCGTTTATACTCTCGTCTCGTCTCCTCTTCACTTCCGCCGCGCCGCGCACCAGTCCGACTGAGGAATAACTTCAGAAAATAGACGATTTTTCTATCGTTCGACTCTTTTGTAGCTTGTTTCTTCTTTACTATGTATTGCTTGTGTATACGCGCTTGTATTACACGTCTACTTTGAAAAAAATCGGAGTTACCTCGTCGTACGTCCCGCTCTTTCCTTCGCCTATTCTCTCCCGCTTTCTCTTTCACTCTCTCTCTCTCAATTTTTTTCTCTGTCCGGCCGCGCGCGTTTCTTTCACTTCTTCCTTCCCTTCTTCCTTTCCCTTCTTTCTTTTTACAGGCGGTTGTCTTACAGGTGTAAGGTAAGATTTAAAGAGAGTCCTTAGGAGAAATGTGTTGTTGCTGTTGTTGCTGTTTCGTGTTTACAGTTGTTAGTAGTGTTATTTACAAATATGTAATGTTTTTGTTTTTGTTAATAAAATAGTTCAAATTAGTCTTTTGGCCCCGCGTGTCTGCTCCCGAGCGGCGGGAGCCGCAGAGTGAGGCAGCCCTCGAGTCTCGACTCTCGACCTCCGTTCCTCCGCTCGCTCCTCTCTTCCCTCTTCTTCATCCCTCTCCGCGCGTGGAGGTCCCCACCACACCGCTGTCCCGGAGTCCTCCAGCCCCTACCAGCCCCACCACCGTCCCGCGAGGGCGATCGTTTCCTCTCTTTCTTTCTCTCTCGGTCAGGTCTGACTCTCCGGCCCCAGCCACAGCCCTTTACCCCTGCCCCCCTCAACCCCGTCCCTGTCCGTGGTGTCTGTCGAATCTCACCCTCGCCAACCCCTCGGTCGCCACCCTACCCTCCTCCGCCTTCTTGCACCGCCGTTATCCCCTCATCATCTATCTCTCTCTTTCTCTCGCGTACCTACGTCTACTTACCATTACCACTTTTACGCTTAGCAGTGTAAGTGCACCACCGTGCCAATTCCTATGCGAAACTACCAATGGTGCTGTTCGTTACCTACCTACCTACCTAGCTACCTATCCAGCTGGTTAGCTACCTACTTCTGTAAAACTCGTTGGGGCGCTGTAAATTAAGGATTACCGAGGATGCTAATTAATGTCGAGGCGTAACACACGGGAAAATTGCGTTTGGGGATCACTCGTTTGTCGTTGCCGAAACCGAACGTCGTTCGCTCTGTGCCGCTCGTCCTCGCGAGATAATCGTCCAGCCCTCCACGGAGAGATTTGGTCCACGCTATTCCATATAATTCTCACCGTCGACAAATCGACGCTCGTACGTCTCGCGCCTCCCCGTTGTCGAAACCGATAAATTTGCGGCGATAGTTTCGGCGAGGGAGATGGACGCGAGTTGCGCGAAGTAATCGCGAATTTGCATGCGGGGCGTAACCTTGAACGCGATACGCCTAGATTTGGAAAAGGAAATGGCAAAGTAACGACTTACACGGTCCCAAAGCGGAACGTGTTGAAAGGTGGAATTATTCATGCGATAAAGAGAATCGAACGCGAAATCGACAAATTTATTATTAATTTAAATATTTACTTTATTAAGGAAAAGTATGTTTCATACATCTCAATTAACGTTAAGCTATTAATGGACTTAATTTGCAGAAGTTTAAAGTTGCGGTGCACAGAACAGAAGGATCAAATTACGTGGACGAACGTTGAAACGTGTAATGTCAGGCTATGTGGCTGAGTTACCTTACAGTGTAAACTTTACACAGTTCTATAGGTGCGGTTCATGACAAACCGTACGAAAAGCATTGTTAGCATGCAAGCCGGCGAAAATCGTAAACTTACTTAATATAGTAGTTTCACGCGGTCGCGCGAATAATTCGCCAATAGAGATAAATTTTATCCTCGCTATACTCTGCGCTGACGACATTAAAGAAAACCGCGTGATTCTTTGAAATCGACCAAATGGCGATGCACGCGCATCCGAGAAAGTCACAAGATTATTCATTATTCATATCGTGATCGTAAGTCCGTGGAAGCGTATTGAAACGACCGATTCGGCGTTTTATCGCGGAGATAACTCGAACCTATCGAACAACAATTGGAGAACAATTGGAGAACAAGTCGTAGAATAGCCAACGTTACTATCCCTAGTTTATAAATGAATAAACAAATGTCTCGTATAAAACGTACCATTTCTCACGATTAATTTTAAACAGATTTCACTTTAAGGGAATCTTAACTCGGGACTCGGTCACCAAAAGACTTGACATCGAAACTTTAGAAGAGTTTTAAAGTAGCTGCAAATGACGACAGGCGGATCGATCGTTTTCATTATTAATCGTCGAGAAAACATTAACTGAAATAAATCCTGAAAAAGATTCGGATCGCTGATTGAGAAGTAGCAGGGAGCGAAGGAAGTATAGATTCGCGCAATTACGAAGACTCGTTAGCGAACATTGGAAACGTCATCGTAAGCAGCAGGAGCCACAACGGGCAATCGAAATTGGCTCCGGCACTTCCGCGCACGTCTCTTCAACCCTTCGCTCTAAGTGGGTGGGCAGGACGTCGACTAAACGATATTCCTCTCACAATCCACGAAACGCAGGCCAAGTCCTCCCCGACTTCGCACCTATACACATGAATCCGTGCACTTGCTCGTGCCACCGAGGGTCGTACGTTTCCAGCGCGACTGGTACCTAAGCGCGCGTATATACGTATATATGTATATATAGATATATTATATGTGTGTATGTGTATGTACAACACACATCGGATTCTCACAGAAGGTTCGTGTCGAATTTTAATAGAAGTGCTGCCACCTTCTAGTGACCTCTGGAGCCAGCCGTGTTGGAGGCATTCCTACGAAGAGGCTCGCGGAAGAAAAAAGAAACATCCGGGGGCTGGCGGAGGGGTGGAAATCACTCAGGCGTCGAGCCCCTATCGCCAATCTGATTAATGGATAGATTCATGAGCCTGGGTATTTATATGGATTTAAGCGCGCCTGTATGGCGGGCACGTAACTTCAGAGCCTCGCTAAATTGGCGAACGTACGCGACCCGAGAGTACGCGTGCATGTGTACGCGGATGCCTCGATGTAACGTGCAAATAATAACGTATTTCCCTAATGTTTTCTTTATATATGGACATAATTAATCGAAAAATTAAAACTGATATAAGCGATATTACGTTTATTTTTAAAATGTGAGAATTTTTTAAAGCGTTTAAATAATCTAAAATTCTGCTATTATATTTTAATTCTGCGAATAAAATAGATAATTTCACGTTAGAATAATTACATGTGAAAACTAGCATACATTTTACGCTTGCTTAAGTTTTACTTGTCTCGTTATCTCGCCCATGTAAAAAAAAAAAACTCGGAAATATTTCTGCACGAAGTTATTTCACGTTGATCCCTCGGCGATGGGGGATTCGAAGTTTGAATTTCGATTACAGATTCGCTTCTGGTCCAGATAGCTTCCGATCGTACGCGGCTTCTGTCGCGTTAAGCTCGTAATTTATCCGCGGCCTGGTAATCGAGCGAATCTCGTGTCGCCGAAATGAAACAAGCTCACGCCCTCCCGGCTTTCCAACCTTCGCTTCGGCATAAGCTCGAGGTTATCCACGATTTATTTGCTTCCGCGTGTATCATATCAGGTAGCCGATACTCCATTCGAATCTAATCTGCACTGTGCATTTTCGACACGAGCGACGCGACGTATAGCTTTGTTATGTTTGTGGAACTTCGCTTTATTAGCCCTTTAAGCCCTGATGCGAACACCCGAATTTTTCGATCGTTCAGCAAGTTGGTGAAAAACCACATTCGTCATAGATATTATCGGCGCGTTTTCGCCGAATTTATACAAACGGTAATACACAATATCTATATATCAACGTAAAAACATGTTTATCTCACAAACGCAAGCAACTGCCACGTCCATGTCGCGCGCCGTTAAACTTCGCGTATACACGCTGCTGACGGTTCGGCTGTTGACAAAGTAAACACGCATTAAGCTACATGCATCATTCACGATTACACACGTTCTATCGTTCGCGGATCGCGTAAGCGGAAGTAGAACGCACGTGCAAGATGATTTCTAACTGTATCCGACATATGGTCAGAAATGATTACGATTGCGCTCCTTGGAGCCGATCCGCCAATTTTTGGGTCCGTGCCGAGTTCACCCGCGCCTTGCCGTGGCTCCGTGATATCCGACTCGACCGTCGAAACGGAGCGTTACATATAGCCCATTTTGTTTCGCTCTGATTTATGGGCAGCCACGATACAAAAACGCCGTGGATTTCGCAAACGGGGACTGACATTTCTACGGCAAAAACAACGGCACGCCGAAGTAAAGCAACGATATACACGGCGGAACAATAATTCTCTATCATTTGTCATAATTTAAGCGGCAGGAAAAAAGATTTGTATAAAAATTGTATCAAGGGACGCTGTATAAATTATATATATAAGAAATATCTTTCCTTTATATATATACATTTAAAACTAATGACTTTTATATCCTGTAAAACATATATCGTCAATTTTTTTGCAAACTGAAGCGTGTAATTACTTTAAAATTCACGATTCAAAGTTTAATCGCCGCAACATCAGGGAATTTTTATGTGTTAGCAGCTCTTTTTATCATTTAAACTAGCGAAAATAGTTCTGTAGTAAACCGAGTTATTGCTACACGTGCGACCAACACGACAAACATTTAAGTAATGCAATTTGTCATTCCATATAGTCAAAAAATACTGTTACCGCCGAAATCTCTCGTTCTCACGCGACGATACTTCACCTCGAAAACGTGACGTGTAACGTTATTGAACATCCGAGCCGCGAATGCGAATAAATCTGCCAACAATATGTCGTTGATGCCGGAAACTTTTATTGCACGTAAAAACGAATTGTTTAATCTATATAAAATTGTCGATCTCTGCAGTTTGACATGTTTTAATAATCTTTATTATTATTCACGTTTTAAATAAATATGTGTTATAAAAAAATGTAGAAAAGGAGATAAACGTTCATATAAAATTTATAGTTTTTTGCATTTTGTGGATAGCATTAAATAATAGCTGCAAATCATCACGCCGTTTGTACACCAAGCTAGGGCGCAAACAAATTAATAACGTGCGATTAGATTAATTGCGTATGCTAAGATATAATCGCGGCAATTAGCTCTGTCATTTGTATCAGTAAGTAGGCTTCCCGACCTAACAATCTAGAATATCCCCTTAAATGCGCTCTATAAACCGATCCGTCGCTTTCTCTCTCTCTCTCTCTCTCTCTCTCTCTCTCTCTCT